AAAACACGCGCCAAAAGCAATACCATTTTAGACTTTCTGCCCTTCCAGTAGAAATCATAGACACGATTGTAAAACTGGTTTGAATAAGACTGACAAATGGTTTCGATGCTGCCTATAAGTGGTGTGCTGGTACAGATGCCTAAGAGGTCAGCTTCGAACTCAGGAGGTGTGGGGTTTGATTGAGTTGAGGGATTTCACTGAGCAAAAAATGTACCACAATTTGCATCAGACTAGTATTGCTCAGTCAGGGTCACTCTCCCTTTTTCTACAGAGGGTTGATTAGTGAGTCCCACAGGCTACATGCTACGTTATTCACATGGCTGTAGACTTCGCGTTTAAAATAAAGCACTCCTGGCCGATGACACAGAAACAGAGATCACCAGCGCATGATCAACTTCATGGAAAGAAGAACGCCAGAAGGGCCCAATAATGAAAGTGAAGGAAGGCAGACACTCCAATGGTTAAAAAGTTACCTTTATCTTTCATGTCAAAGAACTATGAATAACACCATACAACTGGTGGAACCATATAACTGTAGGATACTACAAATATTAACTTTGAACGGGCACTAATGTACAAAATGAAAATTTATCTTTTAAGGTTTCCATAATCACAAAACAGGTAGCAGAGCAGGATACTGCCATAGAATCACTTTTGGAAAGGCAAACAACCATTACTGTGAGCAATCAAAAAATTAGCATGAAAAAGTTTCAGAAATGACTATGCTAATGTGCCAAACAAATGCGAATAACACTATGCTACAGCTTTTTGTGCCAATCATTAATCTTGCATTAACTCACACAGAAATGAACATTTTTTGTATATATATACAGTATATTGTATTAATGATATATACAGTAAATACGTATATATAGCATGTAAATATCGTATATTGTATTTATGATATATACAGAGTGTAAATACGTACGGTTATACAGTGCATAGTTTTGGTCCTAGCAACAGGAAAGAGGGGCAGGAAGACTGTCAATTTATGACTTTCAGGACCACCATTACCATGAGCAATCAGAGTATCAGCATAACAGCCGAATCATATTTATGTAACGAACAACGAAGAAAAAATTCAACTTCTTAATTATTAGTACCTGCCACATTTGCCCAAAATTTGATCCATAATGAAAAGAACGTGGCCAAATTCGCACTACATTGCTTTATCGAATCCTATGCACATAGAATGTGCCAGCCGCCGCGCAAATGGGTTGTACTAATAATGTATCACTCAGCTGTACTTCTACACAGCATACTGAAGGTACTGCATTAAGTTGTTGGTTCGTCTGAGTATCCCTGTGCACTAAGACTTTTTTCCTAAGTCACTGGACTCTGATTGGCCTTCGATTCTTGATGATTTGCAATCAATGAGGAGAGACGATAATCCACAGTCACATGTGGTGCAAATTTTTAGTCAGTTTAATCGTTGCATTTTTCAGCTGGTCTGTTACAAGCACAAGTAATACAAGCTAAAAGCTAATTAAATATACATTAAACTGAAAAATACCTTGTGAATAAAGCTTTCTACCCTAGACTGAAGACCCCACCATTTGAATTCGACGGACACTAGTTTGTAACAGCACATCACCGGTTCACAAGTCTCGTACCACTTGCCGGTCAGCGGACCTCGACCGGTTTTCACGGACTTGAAACGCCGCGGGTCTTTTTCTAGATCCTAAACAACAGTCCGATATTCGGGTAATAGATCGAACTGGTAGTAATGCTATTCGTACCTGATAATCACTACAGTCTTTAGCAATATCAATAAACACTACTTCCCGATCTGCCAGCATCTCGGGAGATAGCTCA